AAAAAAGATCAAAGACCTAAACATAAAACAATATAATACCAATAAAGATGTTAAAAAATAAATAAAATACTTTGATAAAACATAGGGAAAACTTTATGACCTTGAATTTGGCAAAATACTGTTAGATATGACACCAAGAGCAATAATAGGTAGGAATAGGAAATAATAGGTAAATTGGACTTCATCAAATTAATGACTTTTGTGCTTCAAAGGACACCATCGAGGAATTCCCTCGTCATCCAGTGGTTAGGACTCCGATCTTCCACCGCAGGGAGCACAGGTTTGATCCCTGGTTGGGGAACTAAGATCCGCATGCTGCTCGGCCAAAATAAGAAAAAGGACACCATCCAGAAAGTGAAAACATCCTTAGGAATCCTTGTGTGCTATTGCTAAGGCTATTAAATTGTGTCTCCAGGATGAAAAACAACACGGCAGTTCATCAAAAATTTGGAACTGAGTTACCGTTTGATCTAGCAACTCTACTTCTGGGTAAGTACTCAAAAGAATTAAAAGCAGTAACTCAGAAAGATATATGTCCACTCGTGTGTCTATTAGCATTATTCACACTAGCCAAAAGGTGGAAGAAACCCAAATGTCCATCAACAGATGAATGGATCAAAAAAACTTGGCACTGGGTCTTCCCTGGTGGCACAGTGGTTAAGAATCCACCTGCCAAATGCAGGGGACAGGGGTTCGAGCCCTGGTCCAGGAAAATCCCACATGCCACGGAGCAACTAAGCCCGTGCGCCACAACTACTGAGCCTGCGCTCTGGAACCGACGAACCACAACTACTGAGCCCAAGTGCCACAGCTACTGCAGCCCGCATGCCTAGAGCCCATGCTCTGCAACAAGCGACGCCACCGCAGTGAGAAGCCCGCGCACCACAGCAAAGACCCAACACAGCCTAAAGAAAGTAAAATTTTTTAAAAATTAAAAAAAAAAACGTGGCACTTAAGATTCCATGGAGTGTTACTTGGCTTTAAAAAGAAAGCAAATTCAGATGTGCTACAACATGGATGAACCTTACGAACATTATGCTAAGTGAAATCAGCCTGTCAAAAAAGGTTAAACCCTGTATGATTCCATTTGTATGAGGACCTAGAGTCGTCAGATTTATAGAAATCAAAAGAGTGGTTGTGGGCTTCCCTGGTGGCACACTGGTTGAGAGTCCGCCTGCCGATGCAGGGGACACGGGTTCGTGCCCCGGTCCGGGAGGATCCCACGTGCCGCGGAGTGGCTGGGCCCGTGATCCATGGCCGCTACCAGGGGCTGGGGTAACAGGATAATGAAGAGGGTTTTTTTCTAATGGGAAAAGAGTTTCAGTTTTGCAAGATGAAAATAGTTGGAGATTAGTTTCACAATGTCAATTTACTTCCCACCACTGAACTGTACAGTTTTAAAATGTTGAAAATGTAAACTTTATGGCATGTGTACGTTACCAGAATGAAAAGTAAAAATTTTAAAGCAGGAGAATGGAAACACAACCCACAGAATGGAGGAAAAGTCTGCAAGTCATATACCTGATAAGAAAATTGTCTCAAAAATATCTAAATACCTCTTATAACTTAACTATAAAAAGTCAAATGAGTCAATTTAAAAGTGGCAAAGGATTGAATACACATTTTTCCAAGGAAGATATACAAAGATGGCCCAGAGTATATGAAAAGGTGCTGGACATCATTAGTTATCAAGGAAATGAAAATCAAAACCCCGGGGAGATACCACTTCAAAACGACTAGGGGGCTTCCCTTGGCACAGTGGTTGAGAATCCACCTGCCAATGCAGGAGACACGGGCTCGAGCCCTGGTCCGGGAAGATCCCACATGCCACGGAACAACTAAGCCCGCGCGCCACAACTACTGAAGCCCGTGCACCTAGAGCCTGTGCTCCACAACAAGAGAAGCCACCGCAATGAGAAGCCCGCGCACCGCAATGAAGAGTAGCCCCTGATCGCCACAACTAGAGAAAGCCCGCACACAGCAACGAAGACCCAACGCAGCCAAAAATAAATAAATAAATAAATTTATTAAAAACAAAACAAACAAAAAAAACCCCACTTGGATGGCTGGAATCAAAAAGTGAGATGACAAATGTCAGGGGTATGGGGGGAAATTTGACCCTCATAAACTGATGGTGTGAATATAAACTGGTTAGCCACTCTGTAAAGCAGTCTTGGAGTTCCTCAAAAATTAAACCTAATGTTATCATATGATCCATTAGTTCCTCTCCTAGGTATATGCCCAAGAAAAATACATGTTGGAACAAAAACTTGTACATGAAATTTATAGCAATGTTATTCATAGTAGCCAGAAGGTGAAAACATACCAAATATCCATGAACAGACGAATATATAAACAGAACATATTTTATCCAACCAATGGAATATATTTCAGCCACAAAAATGAATGAACAATTGATACCTGCTACAACACGGTTGTCACTTTTTAAAAAATTATGCTACATCAATGAAGTCAGTCACAAAAACCATAGATACTAGGATTCTTTTCATATGAAAACCCTGAAAAGGGAAATTTATAGAGACAGAACGTAAATTAGGCGTTGCCTAAAGCTGGGGTTTGGAGGAGGAAGATGGGGCAATTGGGGGTGACAGATAAAGGGGAGACAGTTTTCTTTTTGATGTGACCAAAATGTTCAAAAATTATGGTGATGATTGCGTTTATCTGTAAATATACCAAAAACCACTGAATTATACACTTTAAAGTGGTGCAGTGTATAGTATGTACATTATATCATAATAAAGCTGTTGAAATAAGTAAATAAATGCATTAAGCACTTTGCAATGCAGGAGTTTTGCAATCCAGTCTCTTCAGCATCTTGGAGTTTCCAGGTTAACACATCCATCACCTCACATTGTTTGTGTGTATGTGTGGTGAGAATTCTTAATCCACTGTCTTAACAAATGTACAATATAGTATATGTAGATCAGAAAATCATCACATTGTAATCTTTAAATATAGACAATTTTATTAATCAATTATACCTCAACAAATCTGGGGGCGGGGGAAGAGGTTCTAGGTGCATCTCAAATTTACATAACGATTTATTGTTTTCTTATATTAGTGAAATAGGAATCAGTTGTCTTAGGGATATTATAGTCGCTTACATTTCAAGTTCTCTAGGGACAAAGGCAAAAACTAATCTAAAATAAATTTCCTTACCTGAGAATTTAATGAATACATCTCACACCCTGTGCTTAGACTGAAAAGAGTCCTTGAGCCCAACTAGGACTGTAGGGTTCAAACTTCCCACCAGAGCCAAGTTCTTGGGATTCTGTCTCTTAAGTACCAAATGAGTGGGGTTAGACCACGGATGGATGGACGAAGGCTCAGCGCTGTCAAGGATCAAAGATTAAAATGGATGGAATTCCCTGGTGGTCCAGTGGTTAGGACTCCATACTTTCACTGCCGAGGGTGCAGGTTCAATCCCTGGTCAGGGAACTAAGATCCCGCAAGCTGCGCAGCGCAGCCAAATTTTAAAAAAATAAAAAATAACTTAAAACTGAAGATTAAGATGAAGGCAGATTCTTTATTACAGATGGTGAGGTCACATTTCAGTTTCTGTGTTTCTGAAAAAGGGTCACAGTTCCATGAGTGGCCTCCCAGCCTTACACCAAACCCTTGAGAAATAAAATACTGCCTGCCTGCCATGTCAGTAAACAAAGGATGTTACATTTATCAGCAACTGCAGTGAGCCGGAGAGCCCTGAGGGAACTCAGGAAGGAAACAAAGAATACCTGCCATCTAGCAGCCATCAGACTGCAGCCACTCCCAACAGTGGTGAACCCTGAAGAAACTCAGGATGTGAAAACATAGGATACTGTAGCTGAGGTACACATCAAAGGAATGATTTCAGTGAGTCCACACTCTTGCATCTTCCCATAGATAGAAAAGTGCTAAATTCCTTAACTTGAGATATCTAGTTTTCTTTTATTAACAGTAATCTTTTGTTCCTACTACCTGCCCTTTGTTGCAAAACTCCTATATATCCCAGCTACCCCCTCACCTCCTCAGAGCAATCTTCTCAGGGTTGCTTAAAATGCTGCCTCCCAGGCTTGAAGTCCTCAGTATGTCTGCCGAATAAAACATAACTCTCAACTTTTAGGTGGTGAATATTTTTTTGGTCGACACCCTTGGCCCCTAGAGAACACAAGACCCTGTTTTCCAGTGTGGCCAGGTGTTGGGTTGCACCCTGCAGGTTTGCAAACCCATTAACTGCCCAGTCTCAAGACCAAAGAAAGAGCCTGGAATCAGCCGTAGAGAAATCAATGGTTTAACGGATAGGGGATCTTACATGTCCGAAGCAGAAGGCCCCTGGAGCTACACCTCACTGTAGACAGCAGATGTCAGGCAGAACGGTCTTCGTTGGGTGGGAGTTACCAATAATGGAGGAAACTGACCTCAGATTGGCTCATCAGTTACCATGAAACCTCACCACTCCTTTGATAAGCTATGAAAGTGGAGATAGTCTGATGTGAAGATTAGAACAATCAGTAGCCAGGGGCAAGTACCTAAGCATTTACTGATTAGGCTCTAAGATTAAGAGGGAGGATCAGTCATGTGAATAGGGTGTAGGTGAAGCAGGGCCTGGTAGAGCAGGGGATGTACAGAGAGCAAGAGAACAGCCATCTTGGGTGGCCTGATCATACACCTGCCTGGGCTACCCTCATGCTCTGTGCTTAGTTGCTCCATTGGGAAACTCAGTCAGAAATTCCCTGCGCTCGTGTGTTCATATAGAGCTGGGCGAAAAAGTTCTGTTTCAACGCAAAGGAATCGGGCTGGGTCAGGTTTCCGCCCCACCCGCTGCCCTCAGCACGGGTCGGGGCAGGGGCGGGGCGGAAGCTAGTTTCCAAGAATCACACATCCTCCCGCCCAGCTGTCACTCAAGTACTGGGGGATGCGGCCTTGCAAACTGTCCAATCAGGGGCGCCGCTTGGGCAGGTGGGTGGGGCGACGCACTGCTCTAGCTCGGGCGTTTTCACTCCCTCAGGCCAGGCTAGCGATCCGGTTTCCTATCCTTCAATGACGGAGGTGGCAGTGCCTCAGAGTCTGTCGCGCTGTGACCTGCGGTGGTCGTGGGAGTCGTAGGAAGGATTCAGAGAGACCCAGGAAACCTAGAAATGGTGAGTGTGGGTTACCAGGGTGCGGAGTTGGAGCGGGAGGGAAGGAGGCGTTGGTTGGAATTGATCCGAACCAGCTGTGATGGTACCGGGCCTCCCCGCTGTCAACTCCGGAGTCTTGAGGACGCGAGTGGCGCCGCTCGGACCTCGGTCCCCTCCGTCCGGCAGCGTGGGGGCGGGGCCGGCAGCCGGGACCCCGGTGTCCTGTCCCGTCACTGCAAGCCGCGGCTTCGGCCCCGGCCCCGCAGCCCCACAGCCCCACAGCCCCACGTCCGCCCCAGATTGTGTGGTGACCACCGGGAGGGTCATCAGGGGACCATCGTGACTCGGTCTCCGTGGTTCGTGCGTGAGAGGAGCTGTGGTCTGGGGGGCCCCCAGTCCTTACTTTCTCCCAGGGGGGCACCCGTTTTCTCTTTGAGTTTTCCAATTATTTGGGTAGCAGAGTCTCAAGTCCACGACCGTGTCCCCTCAGCCTAGCTCTTTCTAGGGCTGGTAATAAACCCCTAAATTTTCACAATCCACCCCACATTCCCAAAGCCATCTTTCCTTCTCTGATTCACAACATCATTATCAACTATTTGTCCTCCGTGGTACCTTTCAAACAGACCCAGTATTTTAACTTTATCATTTTCCCCCAGAGCCCTGGATGGCCCTTTTTTTTCAGTTTACTTTTGTCTGTGGGTGTTTTCCATGAGAAGAAAGCAAAGAATAATCTCCTGGAATTAGGTTGTTCAAAATCCTTGTGCCTCTCCTCCCAGCCTCATTCCTGGGCACAGACATCCTATGGGTGGAGGTTCCTCTTTAAAACTTTCCTGGGTGATATGTGCTGTCAGCGTTGGCCCTCCCTGGGATTGTCACCTTTAAAAGATTTATTCATGTATTTAAGCATCGTTTTTCAATCAGATAAAATGTATTTAATCAATACAGCTTCAAAGACAGTAGTATAAAATATTTCCAAAGAGGCAGAAGTGGTGAATTTCAGAAAAAATAAAATATTCCAGGATTACATTCCATTTGCAAATTCTTGTTTTGCTTTTTTTCTTCCCCCAAGCATGTGTAGTAAGTTTCTGAGGACTATTCTTTACTTTTGGGTGATTTCAAATGAAATTCTCAGATTGTGTGGTGTCTGCTGAGACTTGCAGACCAAGTGTTCAAGTGTGATTAATTATTTTCAAACCAGTTTCTTGCTTTGGAAATAATCATTAACTGACATCTTTTCTTCTGAAACGAGTAGATATTTTGTGTTTTCTGGTTGAACTAGTAACAGTGGCTTACAATTTTCTTATCTCCTTTCCTTATAAACGAAGGGTTTAAATTATTTTGCTGGATTGTTCAAACACCAGGTTTGTGTCAGTTAAAACATCAACCATGTTCCAAAGCAACTCCAGTGCAGAGCAGAGGCCTATAGTCAGTGATCCACGCTTCCTTGAGCCTGTAAAGAGAAGGACTTGCAGGCCCAGTTGTTCTTCCTGGGGAGCCTCCCCTGCAGATGTCCTACCTGCTTACACCCATCACAGAAGGAGACTTATGCTGAGAGAAGCTACAGAGCCCTGGAAAGCTGGGGGTGCACCTGCAAGGAGGTGGAATTGATTCCCTTTCTGAGGTTGTAGTTGTGGTTCCATAGGCCTAGACATTTCTAGACGTCATGTTTGAGTTGTACATCCACAGTGTGATTTGTGCACATTGAGAGAGTCTGTTACAATCACATCCTCTGTCTTGTGGACAAAGGGTTTATGAATTGGGGTCAGAACCTTAAACTGAATCAGGCTGAGAGTTTCCTCACTTGTGAGACTAGAACCTAGTGGAGGCAGCACTTCCATGCTTACAGGACGCGGGAGGGCTTGTGAGCTCCCAGAATTCATTCATGTGGCTCCTCAGCTGTCCCTACCCTCCTTCTCCAGCGACTAACCCACTCTAGGGGTTATATCTTAGACCCCAAGTCTGGGAATTTGGTCATCTTTCTGAAAGTGCGTTTTTCTTCTGAACTGTAGCTAGAAGGCTGCTTATCTGTGTTGATTCCAGTATTTGTGTTTCTTTTGTTGTTGTTGTTGTTGTAATCATTTATTACTTCCGTGACAATTTTTAATCCAAAAATGGTATTTGAGTACCAAATTGAAACACTGTGATTTTTAATGGTGGTTTATAGCAGAGCAAATGATTTTATTTTATACAATTTTAAAAACTATACAATTTCTCCTTTTAAGGGGAGTTCCCTCATGCAAGTTCTCCAGGTTTATTGCAATCGTGTGTGTGTGTGTGTGTGTGTGTGTGTGTGTGTGTGTGTGTGTGTGTGTAAGAGGTGGCTCTGTTTTGTTCTGGGGTTGGTCCAAAACCAGGTGGAGTTCCAATGCATGCAAAGCTTTAAAATTCTACCTTAAGGAGGTTTAATAAGCCAATATCAATTTCCAAGTACTTTGCAAAAATTGTTAAATTTTTCACATAAATACTGGAATCCTCAAAATCACACAGTCATTTCAAATATGTGTTTCTTTCTTTGGATTTCTTTCTCAACTGAAGATTGCAGTTCTTTGACTCTAGTTTCCATTAGCTTTGGGGCTTTTAGTGTGTAAGTTGATTGAGAGATACGATGTGAGTAAAGCAAGAAAATTGTGGAACCAATTAGAATTTTGTTCCATTTAGACAAAATAACTTCAACATGAGATGGGTGTATTTAAGTGCTCAGGTGCTTTTTCCATTAAAAAAATTTATTTATTTATTATACAATTTTTAAAGGTTATACTCCATTTACAGTTATTAAGTATTTATCTTTCTCTGACTTATTTCATTTAGCGTAATGCCCTCCTGTCCCTAGGGAACTTTGACATTTAAAAAGGTCATGCTATTCCTAAAGCAAATAAAGTCTTATTTTAATGGATGTGAGGAAAAAACAATTGAATTATATTTCTGTTGATATAAAGAAAACACCTTAAAGCTTATATACATCTTTTAAATTCCTAGTCCATTTCAGGGTTTAATTGCAAACCCCTAATATTTTTCATTATGCCACTCATTCCTGAAAATATCCCCAGTGTGAAATGTAGTGGAGGGACAAACTATAATGTTCTTGTCCTTTCAGTTAGAAGGGGATTTGTAAATCTTTGACGGTGTGCAGTTTTATATCTGTTAGCATTTAAAGGATTAAATCTTGGAGTGGTTTCCTATGTAGAAAAGTTAAAATTAATTTTAAAAAGAAAATTAATTTAAAATAATGATTAAGCATAGGAAAATATGACGTATATCAATTTCTCTCCTGATTTTAAATAAATGATGCACATGAGGGTTAAAAAATATTCCTAAAATAAGAAACTTAAGAAGACTCCCTACCTACATATCCTCCTCCACTCCTGTACTCTTACTCCACCCACTCTCAAATTACCAGTTTTTGATTACTTCTTGATCATCTTGTTAATATTTCTTTATATAAAAAGAAGCTAGTGCGAATGCGTGTTTCTCTTACCTGGGTTTGTTCTTTTCGGGCCTCCCACTGTTGTGGCCTCTCCCGTTGCGGGGGCAACAGGCTCCGGACGCGCAGGCTCAGCGGCCATGGCTCACGGGCCTAGCCGCTCCGCGGCATGTGGGATCTTCCCGGACCGGGGCACGAACCCGTGAAGAGGTGGCTCTGTTTTGTTCTGGGGTTGGTCCAAAACCAGGTGGAGTTCCAATGCATGCAAAGCTTTAAAATTCTACCTTAAGGAGGTTTAATAAGCCAATATCAATTTCCAAGTACTTTGCAAAAATTGTTAAATTTTTCACATAAATACTGGAATCCTCAAAATCACACAGTCATTTCAAATATGTGTTTCTTTCTTTGGATTTCTTTCTCAACTGAAGATTGCAGTTCTTTGACTCTAGTTTCCATTAGCTTTGGGGCTTTTAGTGTGTAAGTTGATTGAGAGATACGATGTGAGTAAAGCAAGAAAATTGTGGAACCAATTAGAATTTTGTTCCATTTAGACAAAATAACTTCAACATGAGATGGGTGTATTTAAGTGCTCAGGTGCTTTTTCCATTAAAAAAATTTATTTATTTATTATACAATTTTTAAAGGTTATACTCCATTTACAGTTATTAAGTATTTATCTTTCTCTGACTTATTTCATTTAGCGTAATGCCCTCCTGTCCCTAGGGAACTTTGACATTTAAAAAGGTCATGCTATTCCTAAAGCAAATAAAGTCTTATTTTAATGGATGTGAGGAAAAAACAATTGAATTATATTTCTGTTGATATAAAGAAAACACCTTAAAGCTTATATACATCTTTTAAATTCCTAGTCCATTTCAGGGTTTAATTGCAAACCCCTAATATTTTTCATTATGCCACTCATTCCTGAAAATATCCCCAGTGTGAAATGTAGTGGAGGGACAAACTATAATGTTCTTGTCCTTTCAGTTAGAAGGGGATTTGTAAATCTTTGACGGTGTGCAGTTTTATATCTGTTAGCATTTAAAGGATTAAATCTTGGAGTGGTTTCCTATGTAGAAAAGTTAAAATTAATTTTAAAAAGAAAATTAATTTAAAATAATGATTAAGCATAGGAAAATATGACGTATATCAATTTCTCTCCTGATTTTAAATAAATGATGCACATGAGGGTTAAAAAATATTCCTAAAATAAGAAACTTAAGAAGACTCCCTACCTACATATCCTCCTCCACTCCTGTACTCTTACTCCACCCACTCTCAAATTACCAGTTTTTGATTACTTCTTGATCATCTTGTTAATATTTCTTTATATAAAAAGAAGCTAGTGCGAATGCGTGTTTCTCTTACCTGGGTTTGTTCTTTTCGGGCCTCCCACTGTTGTGGCCTCTCCCGTTGCGGGGGCAACAGGCTCCGGACGCGCAGGCTCAGCGGCCATGGCTCACGGGCCTAGCCGCTCCGCGGCATGTGGGATCTTCCCGGACCGGGGCACGAACCCGTGTCCCCTGCATCGGCAGGTGGACTCTCAACCGCTGTGCCACCAGGGAAGCCCTGGGTTTGTTCTTATAATGAGTAGTCAGGA